CAAAGCTACTTACAGATGTCATTGTTCCCAGAAATAAGAAGATTTTTCTTTCAATCCAGAATAGAAAGCTCATCTTTAAAGCAGTAAAAGTTCTAACAGAAACACACTGATAAACAGACATCCTTTCCCCCTGAAAGCCTAACTCAGAGACCGACCATGTTAAGGAGTCAAGAGAAAGTCCAACCATGCAACTGATTTTCTTTTGGTTTTAAACAACATGTTGTCCACCATTTCTTCACCTACAAAATGAACATGATGACTCCTAACTAAATTGATAGCTTCCAACTGACGTCTACCAGATATACAAGTCTGTATTTCTTGATGCCCCAAATAAAGGTAAGCTCCTGGAGAGTGGAAGGTCTGTGTCAATCTTCTACCCTAACACCTGGCACTATGATACTGTCACCAGATTTTCTGATTAACAGTATACTATGAACATTTTAAGGTTGGAAAATGATGAGCACCACATACTAAGTATTGCTGATTTTGAAAACTTCTCTAAATTATTTTAGGATAAAGAAGCTTAAGAACAGTTATTAGTTCTGTTGTGTTGACGAGTATTTTTTTTTTCAGGACACCCAGAAGCAAGTATTCATTCAGTTCACCTTAACACACTTTTAGTGTGTATCCCCAGCTTGTAACTAGACTTGTGTTTACTACTGTGGTTAGTGCATGAGAAGGATAAGACAGTCCCTAATCTTTGAAAGCATTACATTTGTTGATGGAAATAATTCTAAAATTTCAAGTCTTATAATTAAACTTTATTTGAGCAGTAGCACACTCAATGCTAGACCTTAGGTAAAGCAGGAGAGGGCAGAACTATGCGTGTGTGTGTGTGTGTGTGTGTCTTTCACTTTGTGATTCCAGGATTCACTTGTGATTTTTCCAATGCCATTTATTCCACATTTTAGAATCTTGAGTTTTCATTCTAAAATTTACATTACTGATTTGAAATTAAGACACACATACACAAAAAACAAAAAGACTAGATCAAAAGGCCATACCTAGTAATGGCTTAGAGAACAATGTTTGCAGGATATTACTGTGCATACATTTTCCAGCTAAACCCAAGGCAGTTTCTGTATATATGGCAAACTGGTGAAATGCCATCTTAAGGCCATCCATTTAGCTAATGATCTGCCTTGGTACAATGGCACTTACAAACATATTTGTCAGCTGAACCTGGAGGATAGCTTGCCTTTTAAGAGCTTCCTGTGAGCCTGGCACAGCTGCATCTTCAATGTGAAGTGTGCCACTGAGATCTACCAAAACAGCTTTTAATGCACGGCGTGCTGCCATCCTTCATTCCCTAGGAGAGAGTAAATGAAATTAAAAATACAGTTTAGGAAACAATGGACAATTAAAAACTGGTAAGTCTTCAAAAATATTGTTCATATCCAGAAAGATACTGCTTAGCATTAAGCTGTTTCCCTTTTGGTAAAAAAATGTTTTTAAAAATCACAAATTTTAACAAAAGACATAAAGATAAATATGTAGAGAGATACCATTTTCGTGGATTAAAAGATCCAATATTGTAAAGATGTCAATTTTCCCTATAAACACATTCAATGCAATTCTAATCAATATCCCAAAAAGTGTTTTGGCGAACTTGGTAAGTTTTTTTTTTTTTTTTGAGACAGAGTCTCACTCTGTTGCCCTGGCTAGAGGGAGTGCCGTGGCGTCAGCCTAGCTCACAGCAACCTCAAATTCCTGGGCTCAAGTGATCCTCCTGCCTCAGCCTCCTGAGTAGCTGGGACTACAGGCATGCACCACCATGCCCGGCTAATTTTTTCTCCATATATATATATTTTTAGTTGTACAGATCATTTTCTTCCTATTTTCAGTAGAGACGGGGTCTCGCTCTTGCTCAGGCTGGTCTCGAACTCCTGAGCTCAAACAATCCACCCGCCTCGGCCTCCCAGAGTGCTAGGATTACAGGCGTGAGCCACCGCGCCTGGCCTGAACTTGGTAAGTTGATTCTATAATATATATGCCAGTGCAAATGGCCAAAGACAGCCAACACACTTCAGCCAAGACTGAAGAAGAAAAAGAAAGTAGGGCCTTGCTTTACCTAATATCCAGACTTAATTAATGAGGTCTTATAATTAAGATGATCTGGTATTAGCACATACAGAGACAAACTGGTCAATAGAACAGAAGAGACAATCCAGAAAAAGATCCCCATTACGTGTAAAAAACTCAATATATGACAGAGGTAGCGTTTCAAATCAGTGAAGAAAAAAATTAAGCAGTCAAAAACATGGTGTTGGAACAACAGAATATCCATATGAGAAAAAATAAAATGGGACTCCCACATCATACCAAACACAACAAATTTTTTCCAAGTAGATTAAACTACCACATGTTTAAGGCAAACTGTACAAATTTTAGACAGCAGAGTCTTCATGGTGAAGACAGGAAAGGCTTTCTTAAACAAGATATAAAAAGCACAAACCTTAAAGGAAAAGACAGATAAATTCAGCTATATTTCAAAAGCACCATAGAGTGAAAATACATAGAAAGAACTTACTTCTAACACATGTGAGAAAGGAAAGCATCCAGGAAATATAAACTATAAATATCAAGAAAAAGACAGACAACCTGACGGAAAAAATGCAAAAGATTTCAACCTATCCTTTACAAAAGAGCAAATATGAACAGCAAAAAAAACATGAAGATGCTCAAAACTCACTGGTAATCAGGGAAATGCAAATTTAGAGCACAATGAGATTACTGCACCAACCAACATATTGGCAAAATTTAAGTCTGAAAATACCAAAAGTTATCAACAGGAATATCCACATACTGCTAGTGAGAGAATAAACCCAGACAAGCGTTTTGGAAATCAGTTTGGCATCACCCTACTGTACAACCCAGCAATTCCACTCCCAGGTGTTATGCCCTTGAGAGCTTCCTTCACATTATACCATGAGACACGAACAAAAATGTCCATAGCAGCACTGTTTGTTTAACAGCCAGAAAATGGAAACAATACAAATGTCCAACAATGGAATGTATAAATAAATTATGGTATATTCATACACAGAATACAAAAGGCAGTGGAAATGAATGAATTACATTCACAAACATCATCTTAGATAACTCTCAGAAATCCACGATAGGGTGAAAGAAGCAAGTCATAAAAGCATACATACAGTATAGTTTCATACTATAGCATTCAAAAATAGAGATACATACATAAGTGACAAAATTGTAAAGAGAAGCAAGGAAATTATTACCACAAGAGTCGCAATATTGGGTGCTCCTATCACAAAGGGAGCCTCTAAGATCTAGCAATGCGCTACTTCTTTACCTAGATGGTGAGTATATGGGTGTTTTTAATTTTATTATAATTATTAAAAACTTACATATAGGTTTTACATACTCTTGTGCAGATGATATATTT